ACCTTGTTTCTACAATATATCAAAAAATTAGCTGGGCATGGTAGCATGTGCCTGTAGTTCTGGCTACTTGGAAGGCTGTGGTGGAAGGATGGATCACCTGAGCCCAGCAGGTTGATGGTGGGGTGAACATCAGCCTGCCACTGCACTCCAGCCTGGGAGACAGTGAGACTCAGACTCAAAAAAAAAAAAAATTGTTAACTTGTGAAGTAGGCTGGGCCAGGCATGGAGGTTCATGGTTGGAATCCAGCATTTTGGGAGGCGGAGGCAAGGGGAGTGCTTCAGCCCAGGGGTTCGAGACCAGCCTGGGCAACATGGTGAGACCTTGTCTCTACAATAAAACACAAAATTAGCTGGGTGTGTCTCCTGAGCCCAGCAGGTTGAGGCTCCAGTGGCCATGAGCATGCCACTGCACTTCAGCCTGGGAGACAGTGAGACTCCAACACAAGTTTTTAAAAAACTGTGTACTAGGTTGGGCACGGTAGCTTACACTTGTAATCCTAGCACGTTGGGAGGCTGCGGTGGGAGACTCACTTGAGGCCAGGAGTTTTGAGACCAGCTGGTCAACACAGTGAGACCCTGTTTCTACAAAAAAATTAAAAATTTTGCCAGGCATGGTGGCACGTGCCTGTAGTCCCAGGTACTCAGGAGGCTGAGGTTGGAGGATCTCTTAAGCCCCAGAATTGGAGACGGCAGTGAGCTATAATGGCATCACTGATTTAACTCCAGCCTGTGACAAAGCAAGACCTCGTCTCAAAAAAAGAAAAATTAGAAATGTGAACTGCAGGGCAGAATGCTGGGCTCCAATTTGCTCCAGAGACATTCTGGAGCCCGGAAGCCTCAGCAACTTCCCAGCCATGCTCTGAGGTCAAGATTTCTCAACAGGAAGGCAAGGGGAGGTGGGGTGTGGAGGTTCTAAGGAAGGAAGAGGCCGGCCAGTCCCATATGAGGGGCAGAGCCCGAGTGGCGGGGAAGAAGCTGAGACTGAGGCCAATTTAAGTACAGTCTTCTGGGCTGATGTCATGGATTTGAATCCTGCCTCAGGCCGAACTTGGCCGTTTTAGTCTCCCTCTCCACCTCTCCCTCAGATTTGGGGCAGATGGTCAAGATCTCAAGTTTTTTTTTTGAGTAGGTGTCTCACTCTGATGTTCACGGCCACCGCAGCTTCAACCTGCTGGGTTCAGGCGATCCTTCTGCCTCAGCCTTCCAAGTAGCTGGAACCATAGGCGCACATCATTATGCCCAGCTAACTTTTTTTTTTTTTTTTGAGTCGGAGTCTC